AAAAAATCTGGTCTTTTTTAAAAAATCTGGTCTTTTTTAAAAAATCTTGCCTTTCTTTCTTAGGTTGGAACAAGACATCAAGAAGCTAAAGGCTGACCTGCAGGCCAGCAGGCAGGTCGAGCAGGAGCTGCGCAGTCAGATCAGTTCCCTGACCAACACAGAGCGGGGGATCCGCTCCGAAATGGGGCAGCTCCGGCAGGAGAACGAGCTGCTGCAGAACAAGTACGTGTGGCACTGCTGGGGAGGGAGCTGGGGGGGCTGGGAGAAGAGAAATAATTAATTATAGTCATAATAATAATAATAACAACAGCAAGAATAATGACCGTGGTCTGAAAAATGGGAAGAAATTATAATACTCATTATAATAATATAATAAAATTATTATTTTAATACTCATTATACTCATTATACTCATTTAATACTCATTATAATAATATATAAAATATAATACTCATTATTATAATCATCATTATTTTCCTCATAACCACAGTAACCATAAATAAATACTTATAAATATTACTGAAACAAATAAGATTTATAAACAAATTAATAATAAATATTGCATATAAGCATTAATTAAACATCAATAAATATTTTAATAAATATTTATTAATAAATATTAATAAAACAAGTGCAAATGTTATTAATATTAATAATCACAATATAGTAATTTATATAATTTAATAGAATACAGTAATTTATATTTTATTATATTTATATTTAATATTTATATCATCTTCATTACATCTATTTATGTATTAGATATTGTATACCCATCATATATTCATTAAATATTTGAATATTTCTATTTGTCCATTTAATATTTATATTTAATTATTTGGCTATTATCATTATTTATATTGTTTATATTTAACAATTATATATTCTGTATGTTTATATTATATAATATATAATTATTGTATTCTATATTGACAATATTTATATTTGTATATTCAATATTTATATTTGTGTATTCAATATTTGTATTTGTGTGTTTAATGTTTATATTTAATTACTATTTAGCTGTCATTGTTGTTATTATTTGCCAAATTCCAGGCAAATCTTGCCTGCAAATCCACCAAGACTCATTTGGGACCATTGACCAATTCATTTGTAGTAAATAAAATCTCCCATTGAATCCCATCGCTGTTCCCTTCCAGATTGCACAACGCTGTACAAATGAAACAAAAAGACAAACAAATGATCAGCCAGTTGGAGAAGAAACTAAAGGCAGAGCAGGAGGCAAGAACCTTTGTAGAAAAGCAATTAATGGAAGAGAAGAAAAGGAAGAAGTTGGAAGAAGCAACTGCTGCACGAGCTGTGGCCTTTGCTGCTGCCACGAGGTGCTTTGTGCTTTGGGGAGGCCTTTTTCACTCCTGTGTGCATAAAGGAATAGTTTATTTGATTCTTTTCTTAAAAAAAAAGGCTTTATTTGTGTTAAGGCAGAGGGAGGACTGGGAAATCTCTGAGCCTCGGTGCCTACATATATTACATTTGCCCATGTAATATGAATTACACGGGTGAAAAAGCTCCAAAGAGCATATTTAGAACATAATGCTCTGAATTATCTGCTGTACCTTGACTGTGCTGACAGAGATGTTGTACCTGCTTGGGTCAGTCTGCTTTGAGAAAAGGAACATCTCCTTCCACGTGGGGACTGAATCAAGGATTTGTGCAGTGGCATTGGCCAAAACACCAAGTTTAAATCCCACAGTGTGGAATGTTCCTGCTCTGGCCCAGTGGCTGCCAGTGCTTAGCACTGGGATTTTCAGTAGTCACACAGCTGTAGAGATGGGAGCACAGCACAAGTGTGGGTGACTTTAATCTGCAGTGCTCCAAATGTCTAAAAAGAATTATTTCTTCTTTTCTGTTCTCCATATTTCATAAATATTCCAAATTTCCTGATACTTGGTGTGTAACTCTCTCCGTTGTTGCCATGAGGGGAAACCATTTTGCTGCAAAGAAGAAAGTTAGCTTCTTCTTTTTATCCTTCAAGTTTTACATTAATTTTCATGGTATAAACAGCTGAGGAATGATAGTCTTATTCTTATTTCATCTTC